TAGGAATAATAATAGCTTAAATACATTTCGACAGCACTATCGGATTCAACACCCTCGAAAACCATGAAAATGACACCCAAGATGAAAAAATTGGTACCTACTTCAGCCGCCATCTTGGATTTACATTTCGGCAGCACTATCGGCTTCAACACCCTCGAAAACAATTAAAATGACACTCATGATGAAAAAATTGGTACCTACTTCAGCCGCCATCTTGGATTTACATTTCGACAGCACTATCGGCTTCAGCACCCTCGAAAACCATGAAAATGACACCCATGATGAAAAAATTGATACCTATTGCGGCCGCCATCTTGGATTTACATTTCGACAACCCTATCGGTTTCAACACATTCGAAAACCATGAAAATGTCACCCATGACAAAAAATTTATAGTACTTACTTTTAGTACGTACTACTATTATTTATTCTGTGCTTTTAAAACATTGTAATAAAAAAAATCTCTTATTATTATTATTATAATTAAGTATTTAAGAAATTTGGTTACCTATTCGAATATTGTGTATTTGTACAGCGATCTTTTAGAGCCGCTGCAAACAACCGAAACAATGTCCACTCACGGCGGCGACTTTCAGTTTATAAAAAGTACTCTGTGGCGGCGACTGAAGCCGAACTAAACTACTCTGTGGCTGTAGCTCCCCATTTACAGAAATAATTTACATACAAGGCAACCAAATCAACGAAAGTTTCGCCATTTTGGAGCCGAAAAAAATTTATTATAGCTAAACAAAACAAAATTACACTGCCATTTACATTCAGTGGCTTCCCACATGATAGACGATGAGATTAAAAAATAGATTGAGTTAAACAATTGATATTTTCAAAAGTTATTGTGTATTAACACTAAAACCCCTTTTTTATTTAAAAATAGCAATCGTTTACGCAACTTTCGTTTATAACCATTGAAAAAAATGATTATATACTCACACTATTCACTTACACTACATGGCATGCAGTACTGATAACTGCGCCAGTGGAATGCTAATGGATTCGTTCAGATTTCATTCGGAACCGTATAATAACAAATTATGTTTTAATGATATTTAATCAAACAGAAGATATTTATATGGAAACGCTATGTAGACTGCCTTCAAATGAAAAAAAAAATTGGTCGCCATAACAGTTAATATTATACAAAACAACAATAACATTTTTATACACCTGATGGTAAGTGACTACCGCCGCCCATGAACAACTACTACCAGGGGAAGTAAAGGAATTGCAGATGCGTTGCCGGCCTTTTAAAAATGAGTAGACTCTTTTCTTGAAGGTCCCTAAGTCGTATCGGTTTGGAAAAATCGCTGGTGGTAATCGATTCCAAAAGGAAGTTGTGCGAGGAAGAAAACATCTTCTAAATCGCACAGTGGTGGACCGCCAATCATCCAGATAGTGTGGATGGTATTGGGAGTTCTGCCGCGATGTGCGTTCGTCAAATTTAGCGGCTGGGATTAATCCGAACAATTATTGAAGTAATTCAATTTTTAAACTGGATTTCAAAGCATTAATTATGTTTAAAAAATATAAGTTTATTTTGTGAGACTTCGCGGAGCGAACATATAGCTGACGTGAAACACCGGCACTCCGTGAAGTCTACAGTCTGTTGACATGTTTAAGATTATCCCTGCCGTTACATCATATTTAATATACTTCTAAAGACTAAATTTAATATATTCGTAAAAATACACCGATTACTACTAGCTACTAGCGTTATTAGGTAATTGACGAACAGAATTAAATATAGACCTGTGTCTACGGTTTATAGGCAGTTCAAAATTGTAGATTGAGTTGAACTAAACGCATTTATTCGGTAGTTTGCAAACAAGAATTCTGTTTCAGAAACCAACTGCTTTGCAATAACAATTTCGTGGTGGCTAGCTAAACAAATTCAAAATCTATTTAAACGTGATTTGCTGACACGTGAGCACCACCAAATAAACTTATCATATGCACTCGTACAAGTTTACGTCGAATATTTGAGAAAGGTCATGAACAAATCCGTTGGAAAATAAATTGTTTACGAGGACTGTCGACCAAATCCACTTTAAATCTTAATGTAATTGCACCGTCACATTGACCGAGTGACCGTAAGAACGCAAAATAGGCGAGTTAAATTATGTAGTTAGTGCTTCCAGTGTTGCATTTCAATGCATTGGCTGCCGTCCAGAGGTATCATAAAATGCTTATAAACGATAAACTTGTAAACAGATACTTCCACTTTTGCTGATATTTGTAACAAAGCAGTGCATAGCTAAGCTTATAAAATTAATTTAAATTTAGGTTCTTTCCTCGTATATCGTGTTAAAAATTTTCAAATATAGCTATTTTTATAACTTATAATCATTTTATGTTAAACTCCAGTTGGCAGGTTTTTTTTCTGACTACGATCCATCTAGGTAAGTCACTATTTCTTATTTTATGCCACCAAGCAGAAGAGCTTCCACTGCTATTGCACTGAGGATATCCATTATTTTTGTAGGTCGAGGAAAAAGTTTATTTGTATTTTATATACAAATTCAAGACATTTTTAATTATAACATACATGTGCCATTTTGTTCGATAACTTGTTGCCATCTTGTAGGTAGTGACATAATCCCGTTGTTGTAGAAATATTGGGATTTTTAATAAAAAAAACTACGACAAGTGGTTTTGACATGCCTCTCTTGATGTTAACCTAACACTACCCAAAGAATTCTGCAGAGACCGGAACAGGTGAAAATCTGGGGGTACAAGGTCTGGACTATATGGTGGATGTATCAAGGTAACACTTCCCAACCAAGCTCTCTCAATTTTTGCTGAGTGGTCAAATATGTGTGTGGACTGGCGTTATCATGATGAAAGACCACTCCGTTTCTGTTGATCAATTACGGCCGTGTTTTCTCAATTTTTGCTTGAGTCTCATTAGTAGTTGGCAGTAGAGATCGGAATCGATGGTTTTGTTCGGCGGTAAAAGATCATAATAAACGATGCCCTTCCAAATCAAACACCGAGCATCACCTTATTGAGTGTTAATCCGGATTTCGCTACAGTCTGTGGAGCTTGCCTACCCTTTGACCATGATCTTTTTCGCAATTTCTTGTCGTAGGTGATCCACTTTTCATCACCAGTGATCAACCTTTTCAAAAATGGTTCGGTTTCATTACGTTTCATTAAAGAATTTTAAATGAGTACACGATTCATGAGATTTCTTTTAGTGAGCTCGTGTGGTACTCAAATATCGAGCGTTTTTGTACAGCCAGACCTTTTCAAACGGGTGAAAATTGTTTTGTGTTCAATCCTCAAACTGAAATCCTCGGCAATGTCGTAATTACTAATCCGCCGATCTTGCTCCACTTTTTCAAAAATGGCATCGACTATCCGTATGAGGGCGTACTAGAGCGAGACCATATTTGACATCAAAATTCCCGGATTTGAGAATGCTTGAGCCAACTTTGTACTACTTTTAATGACACTGCATTAGGTCTAGGGAAAAAATGCGACTCAGCATTTTTTTCTTTTTTGTAATAGAACTCCAGAATGTATCGAATTTCTTCGTTAGATTCACTAATTTTGGCGGAAAGAAAAACAATTGAAAAATGGCGGGAAAGTGTTTTTACTTTTTATTTTTCTTTTTCTGAATGTCCTATATGTATTGATATTAAACCAGCCAGATATAAACAATACCACCAAATAATTTTTCTTCAATTTTATTCAAACAACATATGCATTTAACTTTGTTTGCCATAACACCTTATTACGTAAGCTAGAAAACTATGGGATAAGAGAACTGACATTGCAGTGGATAAAATCATAGTTATCATCAAGAAAACAGTGTGTGGAAGTTATAAGCCCTAACAAGAATAATATTTTGACAAAATTTAGATCGCGACTAGTTCTTAACCATAATTAATAAATTTAAATCCAAACCCAAGTATACTACTGCTAGACTTCAAGATACTGTAAGCTCATTCTGCGTAAATCGGACCAAAAAATTAATATTAAAAAACTGAACTGGTAGCCGGGTTAACTATGACAGCAGGACGTCAAACACCTCAGTCCCACGTGACCACGGGTGCTGGAAAGCACCCGATACGTCGGGAATATAAAAATAGGTTAATATACGCGATAAAATCCGTAAAATTAGTTTTATTTAAAAATGTGTAGTGTTCGCGTAAATATAAGAAATCATAATTTTATCCCGTCATAAGACCGATTTATGTAGAAATAGAGTGGTAGCCGTTATATGGCGACGGGTTCCCTAATAATGTCGAATTGCCTTGACTTACTTACTTACTTATTCCCTTTTTAAGGCTACATATACTTATATATGGCTATATTAGTATATAGTTCATCACTTTATATTGCGGTTTACCTTGAAAGTAGCAGTTAACAATTTTTATTATTCACATTATGCAATATCTGACGCATATTGCTAAGACCATTTTAAATAAATCAATGACTACGTTATAAACCTATATTTAATTATTATTTACTATTCTACTAATAGGTACAATAGTTTGGGATACCACGGCAAAACAAAGCGAAACACAAAGCGCGTAAATAAGATTGTATATTAAGCCACATTCCATACTACATTTAATAGGTATTATTTTGTTAATACATAGTATTTTTATTCGATTTTATAACAACCCAGTTTTTGTCATTAATAAAAGACAATGCTACATTTTATGTGCTCAAGGTCAAAATATCAGGCGATAGTGTAATATTACGAAACAATATCCTTACAACAGGGGTTCTTAAACTTTTTCAGTTCGCGAGATTTTGTATTTTGTCTCGGCGCCCTAGCTAGTCGAAATAGGGTACAATGATACTAGTTAGATAGGTAGAAAAATTAATACTATATGATAGCTACATGAAGCTGAATAAAAAATAGTAAATAAAATCTAATCTAATCAAGGGCGCCCATCTTTACTCTACAGTGCACCAGGGCGCCGCGGCGCACACTTTGGGAACCATTGCATTAAAACGTCCTTTCATTTTAGGGAAAATCCACGGGAGCTCCGGAATAAAGCGGAGAAGCAGCGACGCGATAAAATGAATCGATCTATAGCGCAGTTGGCTGCAATCGTCCCACCAGTTGTAGCTTCCGGACGTAAGGTGGACAAGACGAGCGTGTTGAAACTGTCAGCACATTACTTACGAGCGCATCAATACGGTAAGTGAGTATTTTATCCGATATATTTTTCATGTTTTAACATGTCAAATAACTACCTTAATATTAAATTGATAAATGTACTTAATACGTCTAAATAATTCTCAAGTGAAAAGTGAAATTGCAGTGTATGCGGTTACTGTAGCCTTTGAACATTTACAACCCAATTTAAATAAAGAACACACCAACCCACAGCCGGTAATTATAGTGGCTCTATTAACCTTCAGGGAAGAGATATAAAAATATTATTTTATATAAAAAATATTTTTCTACTATACTAAAAAAAAACAGCCAAGTGCGAGTCCGACTCATGCACCGAGGGTTCCGACCAAATCCGTAGATATATAAGTTTAAAATTATTAAAAATATGTTTATTATATGATGTAACTAAAAATGTATACTTTTCGCAATTTTTCCTTTATCTGTGAAATAATACGTTGCTTCGTACCAAATTTTAAGATTCTGAGTTCACGGGACGTACCCTGTTGGTTTTGATTCCCTTGCGAATGTCGAAAATTTGCGGCATAAATGGCTATATCTTTTGATTGCGTTGGCTTAGAAGTTTGATTTTTTCACAGCTCCAAGGGACAGTAGACTTGAGTATTTGATATGAATTTCAGCTTGATACCTCCCGCGTTCCTGAGAAAAAGGGTCTTGACCGACAGACAGACGGATAACAAAGTAATCCTATGAGGGTTCCGTTTTTTCCTTTTGAGGTACGGAACCCTAAAAATACTTTTTCTGAATACGTTAGACTTAATTTATAATGAACACCGTAACTATATTCCATAGTGCTTCAATATGCACAAAGTATCAAACGTCAATGATAATCATCACAGTGTAATGCGAAAAACTCCTATGATGTTTTAGTTAGCTTTTGATATTTATAAATAAATAAGTAATCGTATTTTTAAACTTTACACGTTCTCAATAACACACAATGACGATTATCGTATATTGAAGATAAACTCATTATTAATCAAGATCTATGACAAAAGAAACAATTACGAATCTTTTAGAATTACCCTACGAGTAATCTCCATAACAGTACAGCAAATAGCACCAAGACAATCACATAAAACCGCTATCGGGAATTCAAAATCGGCGTCGGTGCTTATACATTTAGCCGGATAACTTCTATTTAATACGTATGGGTGGAGCACACATTCCAAGTCATGGAAATCATTATGTACTTTATATGGAATGTGGTGAAACTAGAAAATTATTCACAAACCAAAGCGTAGAATAACTAGATCACGTCGATACTGCGTCTCAAAAATATACTCAACACATCTTGCAATCGTTTACGAGCGTTACTAAGTTTATTGCCTTCCTCACATGTCCATAAATTAAGTAGGTTCTAAATTTATTAACATAGCATTCTTAGTACTGTAAACATATACGTAACTTCTGTTATGTGATATTAAGGATGAGTTATACAAGCATGATCGACTGTTATTTCTAAAACCGCTGCATTATGTACAAAATAATAGTGCCACTTATTTAAACTTTTTTTGTTGTACACTAAGCGCAGGAACGCACTAGCGGCGGGCCGTGATGCGATGTGCCGTTGCGGTAGGCCGCAGTATAAACGGCCAGCCGCAACGGCACGCCGTATTCCGGCTAACCGCATAGTCTCGGTTTTATTGCGGTCCGCTGGTATCGTCAGTGCTTCTAGAAATATTGGACATAATGGACATCGAAGAAGTTGCTACAGTTATTTGTTTGTATCGATTCTAGTATGTTCGATGTGAAGCGAATCGGAGATCGATTTTTCTTTAAGCGAATCAACATGCCTGACTTGCGGCTAACCGCGCCGAGTGCGGCGCGCCGCGTCGTTCAACCGTTACGGTTGACGGAAGGCCGCAAGTCAGTGTGTCGATATCATGGATCACACTAGAAATGAAATGTTCAATATTATTTAAAAACTAGCTGTTCCCCGCGACTTCGCCCGCGTGTTATTTGGGGTTTTAATTATTTTTTGCGCGGAACCCTAATTATTTTTCTAAAATAAAAGTAGCCTAAGTTACTCCTTCTCCAGCTATCTGCCAGCGAAAGTCCCGTCAAAATTGGTCCAGCTGTTTCAGAGATTAGCCGGAACAAACAGACAGACAGACAAAAATTTAAAAAATTGTGTTTTTGTTATTAGTACCGTATATACTTTCATATGCATTTAGTAAAAAGACATTACAATTGTCTGTCAATTAATAAAATTAAAGTGTATTGTGACATTACAATACACTTTAATTTTATTTATTTGTATAGATATAGATGTAACGTTTAGATACGTTTTAGATAGATACGTTTGAACGTTCTAGATGGTTTAATAAATTTCTAAAAAATTAATAGTTTTAATCTGGAGGTAGCCGCGGGTAACTATGACATTGGGACGTCAAACACTTCAGTCCTCTCCGTGACCATGGGTGCTGTAAAGTATTTGAAACGTCGGGAATATAAAATAAGTCTTATATACGCGATTAAATCCTTAAAAAATAGCTTTATTTTGATATACAGTGTTCGCGTAAATATAAGAAATCATTAGGTACTGATTGTTAGTCCGAGGATTCTGAGTTGTGATTTGTCAGATAGCAGTTGTAAATTTAAAACAGATGTTGGTTCTACTGGCTGGTTGTTACAGTTATTAGTTTCATAGCTACCTTGCAAAATTTTTTTTCTAATATCTCTTCTTGTTTCTTGTAGTCGCTGGTCAAAAAATGCAACTATGCGAAATGTTCTAGGCGGTATTCTATAAATTTGCAGCGTGTTCGTTTTCTGTAGGCTGTTAAATAAGTTTCCAAGTTTGTGGCTTCAAAGTAAGACTTCATTAATTTTTCTTTTAGTTTGCTAGACCACCTCATCTTTACATTAATCGGTTGTTTTCCTTTTATTGTCATATTCCTACAAACATTAGAGGGGAAGTTAACTTCCGGTGTATTTTCATAATTATTCAAAGCAGTTTGAAATTCGGATTTATTTTGTTTCAGGTCTTTTGTAAGTAAAAGCTTATTTCTTACTTTGGCTCTCCGTTGATCTTTTTGTGTAATGTGTCTAAATACTGTTTAGTGTTTGTTTCTATGTTAGTTGTGTAAAGGTATATACGCCAGATGGAGCTGTTTATTTCACAAGTCCATTTTTTCTTTGCGCACGTCTGACGGGCGAGGAGTTTGTTGCTTCTACTTCCACCACAATATCTACTAGCGATTTTGAGTAACGTGTTCGTTGTTTGTTAGGCTTATCATAGAAGAATAAGAAGAAGGCGGAGAGTAGTAGGACTCGCTGCAACTAACATATGATTCTTTGACATAATTTTTTTTATAGGATAAGGGTGAAAAACGAGCACACAGTCCACCCGATGGTAAGTGGTTGCTGCGGCCCATAGACATCTACATCTATCCTCGTTTGCGAATCAAAATGCAGATGAGTTGTCACCCATGAGGACTAATATGGAATGCCTCATTCCCAGTAAAAAGGGCCTCCGGCCACCTGCACTCACCAAGCGAAACGCAGAGGTAAACCTCTACTTCATGCTGGTATTCTGTGAGGTCGTGGTACCAACCCGGTTCGAGCCGGCCCATCCGTGCGACAGCAAAAGCTGCCGCGTGGCTCTACCACTGTTAAATATCCTTAGTAATACTTTCATGCTTTCTCAGAGGATAATTATGTGGATACCTACTGATGATTTTGATACTGGAATATTCAACAAAACCTTGATCCTTAAAAGCAAGTTGTCTCAATTTCTCTTTTAATTTTCCTTCTTCCTCTTTTGAGTGTTGTATAATTTGGTAATAGGCATAGACTTTGTTCAGTGGTTAAATTTTTTTCATCATATTTTTACTCCTCTTTTCGGTTCTTGGTTTCAATTTGAAGCTTTAAGCTCCTCTTTAGGTGAGTCCCGATTCAGTACTTTACGTAAACGCAAATTAAATATCTGTTTATTAAAACTATCATTCATTTTCGACCGAGTTCACGAGATCACGAGTAACATGGAAAATATTACGTCCGTCTCCGCAGCGCCCCGCTTGTGGAGATAAGGCTAATTTAAAAATCTGAGGTTGCCCGGTATCAGGGTCCTCCGCTAGCGACTGAGCGCCCTCTCAGCCTTCTTCTGTATGGATCGGATCACACCTTGGCTTAGGGACTTTTTTATTGAATGAAGTTTACTCCTCTTGGATGGGATTAACAATTTATGCACGAAATTACAATTCGGAATTAAGACAGGAAGAAAATTGGGTTTATTGCAAGGATAGGAAAATAGATTATTTTTCTATCCTTGCAATTATATTTGGATAATGGGGTGATTGGGATCGTTAGTTAGAAGATAAATATTTTTTTTCTTGTTTTGATCTAGTTGTTATGACCATATAAATCCAGTGCCAATATTTAAGCCCCCCCCCCCCGCCCCCTACAAGGCAAGGTTATTATTATTATTATAATTATTTATAAAACTGCATTGTTCAACAAATTAATTTGCACGAAAAGAGAAATGAAAACAAATTGAATGATTTTAAAGAATAAATAAGGCAGAAAGTTGCTCAATATTTTGGAAGTTTGGTTATAATATAATAGGGTGACAAACGAGCACACAGTCCACCTGATGGTAAGTGGTTGCTGTGGCCCATAGACATCTACATCTATCTTCGTTTGTGAATCAAAATGCAGATGCGTTGTCACTCGCGAGGACCAAGATGGTATGCCTTTTTTCCAGTAAAAAGGGTCTCCGGTTCTCTTCACTCACCATACAAAACACAGCAGTGTTAAGCTGTTATTTTACGCTGGTATTCTGTGAGAGAGTGGTCCTTCCCCGGTCGAGCCGACCCATTCGTGCTACAACCATACTACTAATATAGCTGCAGCATGGCTTTACCACGTTTATTAGTATAGTTTATTGTTTAGCAATAATAATATTTTTGAACGTATAATATGGATATCAAGGATAAAAAAATACTAACAAGCAACGGAAATTACGTGCGCAGTCATCGAAGAGAATAAAACGTGATTGAGCT